TACACACTTGAAGCTAAAGTATCAAAATTAGATGTAACAATGTAGAAAAAAGAAGAGAGAAAAATAAAAAGTGCTATACTAATGTCAACAGAAAAAGTATAAAAGTGTCATGCAGGGAAAAGTCAATTAATGGTTATTCCAGCCTGATCTCACGAGGAAACGTAAGTATTTTCTGTTTTGTCAGTTTAGTGGCTAATTAGTATGAAGTTGTATGGGTTCAGTCGTATGTAAATGTACAATTTTAAAAAGGAGGCATGGCACATAACCCCACCTTCAAACCCGACCGTCATTGGGGGATAAGCACATCGTACTAAATTTTTCGAATGAGATCGTATGAATAAGCCACTAAATCAAAAACGTACAAATTGCAAATTGTGTTGGTTATTCACTATATGATTAGGAAACTTACTGTGTTGTGTTATGATGTTCAGTGTTTGTGTTAAACACCTGATAATGGCTATACTGCAAATCAACATTACCATGCGGAGAAATAAAGTTACCTTACTTACTTTACATGTTAACCAGGTTACAGTTTATACAGTTGCATTTTTACACTTTTTACTTTTAAAACCATTTTAGTGTTGCCTACTCTCTTGTTGCATTCAGCCACCTCGTTGTCATTCTGTGTATCTGTAAACCTATATTCGCAGTAAATTAGCAAGCAGTTATTGAAACTTGTAAAGCAATATTTAATATACACTAAAAAAACAGCAAATGATATTATAATTTTTTTGAAAAGCTTAAGTTTAAATGCTGTCTGAAATGTATAAGTAAAATATCTATAGACAATAAACTGAACCACTTATATGATAAAAATGTACAATCTTTCAAACATTGTGAATTACTGTATTATTTTAATTTTAGATGAAATGCCTGTAGAATGTAGAATTTAAAAATTCTTTGCTAAAGTTTCAATCGTATTCTTAATTTACTTCTTGTTAGGAGAAATACGTTTACAGTGCTATACTGTAGACAGCATTTAGATGGATATGTAGATATGTGTGCAGCACTCTTTCCTTTAACAAGAAAATTACATTAAGAATAAAACAAAGAAGGCTCTCAGGAGCATGTTAATAATACATCCTTTTGATCTTTCTGGCAAAAATGTCCTGAGCTCTTCCCATTAAAATCAGTCGGCAGACTTTGATTTAAACTAGACGTTTTTTTTAACATTTTTTAAAATTCAGTTTATTATAATCTAATTAAACAATGGCATTATATCGAACATATAGCTCTTACCAATTTGTACATGGGATACGTTTAATTCTTCATTTCTGTTTTTTGTGTATTCAATCTACTTTATTCATTCATTCATTTTTCTTTGGCTTAGTCCTCTTATTTATCAGGGGTCGCCACAGCGGAACGTACCCGCCAACTCATCCAGCACATGTTTACATAGTGGATGCCCTTCCAGCTGCAACCTAGTACTGGGGCAGGGTGTCCGCGGGGTCTTAAAAAGTATTAAGTTGATGACTCAATTATGAGTAAATCAAGGCCCTTAAAAGGTATTAAAAGCATTAATCTGGTTTTTACGAGATATTACATTTTGTTCTAGCATTGTCCAAAGTGTTTGACTCCATTCATTCATTCATTCTTTCATTTTCTTTTCGGCTTAGTCCCTTTATTAATTTTGGGTTGTACAAGACAAGGTTGTATCACAGCGCAATGAACCGCCAACTTATCCAGCATATGTTTTACGCTGCGGATCCCCTTCTAGCTTCAACCCATCACTGGGAAACATCCATACACACTCATTTACACACACACACACACACACTCATACGCCACGGTCAATTTTAGCATACCCAATTCAACTATAGCACATGATCTTGGGCTTGTGGGGGAAACTGGAGCAACCGAATATAGGAAGAACATGCAAACTGACCCAGCTAAGAGCATGAACCAGCGACCTTCTTGCTGTGAGGCGAATGTGCTGCCCACTGTGCCACCATGTCGCCCGTGTTTGACTCCAAAAAAAGCATAAATATATTTATTTTCCTCATAGTATTAACAACGACGTGCTCGATCCTTGCGATTATTTCGGGCTGGGGCACGTCTGGCCAAGCTCCTCCGTCTGGGTGATGTCACGTAATTTGCAACAAACGAGGAAGGGTGATGTGATGCCCTTCACATGTAGCAAAACCATAGAGCGAAACAGACAGCAAAATGGGAAAATGTAAGCTTGCGTACTCCTGGTTGGAGAAAGATGCGTTTAAACAGTGGCTTAAGCCTGTTGCTGAAAACAACAGCGTAATTTATTCATTCAAGCTTTGTTTTTTTTGAGCTTATCTGAGCTCTGTTGCATGGTTGTGCTTCATTGATTTGTTTAACTGTTTATTAACAACAGTTTATTAATAACTGCTTATTAAGTGTTTGATACTGATTAGAACTTAGTGGCAAAAATTCTGAGAAAGTCTTTAAAAGGTATTGAAGATACCTTTAGGATTCCTGCATAAACCCTGTGGGAAACACCCATACACTCATTCACACACATACACTAAGGCAATTTAGCTTATTCAGTTCACCTCTAGCACATGTCTTGGACTGTGAGGGACACCTGGGCACTCGCAGGAAATCAACACGAGGAGAACATGCAAACTCCACACAGAAATGCCAACTGACCCAGCTGGGGCTTAAACCAGGGATCTTCTTGCTCTGAGGCAACTGTGCTAACCACTGAGCCACTGTGCTGCCCCACTCTACTTTATATGATGATTATTTATTTTATTTAAAGAGATAGTTCACCCAAAAATGTAAATGTTCTCATCGTTTACTCGCCCTCAAGAGGTTCCAAACCTTTATGAGTTTTTTTGTTCTGTTGAACACAAAAGAAGATATTTTGAAGAAAGCTGAAACTTGTAAACATTTAAATCCATAGTAGGAAAAAATAAATATGGAAGTCAATGGCTAGCGGTTTCCAACTTTCTTCAAAATATCTTCTTTTGTGTTCAATAGAGGAAAAACACACGAATAGGCTTTGAACAAGTGAAGAGTGATTAAACGAGGACAGAATTTTCAGTTTTGGGTGAAGTATCTCTTTAAAAGTAAAATCAGTTTGCAGATCTGAATTGCATTACTGTCTATTCAAGAGACATGATACTCCAGCTTTGCTACAATATGCATTCTGGCTCCATCAGTGTACTCTATTTTATGAATCACATTCTTAGTATATTTTTGAGTTAATGCTACACACACTCGTTAACCGTTGTTTCAGTGTGTGTGAAGGTGACATCTGCCTCCGTGCTGCTGCTGTATCTAAATCGAGCAGCTCTGGAGGGATATTCTCTGCAGTATAGCGGTGACTTCACACTCACACGAAACAGGCTTTTTGGGGGCAGTGTGCGATTTTCTGCAGATGCGTAGAAAGACCTGCTGCCTGTGGCTTCCCGGATAGCATGACACCTGATCACTACTTCCTTGTGTCATTTCACAAGCTGTTGTGTTGCCTTAGTGCAGTGGTTTTGTCCCAAACTGAATTTTATGCGTATGAAATGATCTGCACCTTTTGATTAGTGTTAATGTTTTGTTCCATTTGTTTATTAGTGATATTTAATATTGTTATTTAAAAAAGAAAAAATGAGATAGTAGAATGAATATCTCAATAAATCAATGTGTATATCTTTATTTAACATGTAAATATTTATTTATTCAATTAAATGCATTATCATTAGCAATAAATTGTTGTTGTTATTGTTTTTTCTTTTGCATTAAGAAAATAATAATAATTTAAAGTATAATAAATTAACATTTATTTGTTTATTTATTTATTTGTTTATTTATTCAATCAAATGCATTACCATTAGAAATAAATTGTTTTCATATTTTTTTCTTTTGCATTAAGAAAATAATAATAATTGTAAGTATAGTAAATCAACATTTATTTATTTATTTATGTATTCAGTCAAATGCATAACCATTAGCAATAAGTCATTTTATTTTTATTATTATTTTATCTTTTGCATTGAAAAAAATATTAATAATTGTTAATATAATCAACATTTATTTATTTTATTTATTTAATCAAATGCATTACAATAAGAAATAAATTGTTGTTTTTATAATTCTTTTCTTTTGCATTAGCAAAATATTAACAATTGTTAGTAAAATGAATCAACATTTATTTATGTACTTATTTAATCAAATGCATTACCATTAGCAATAAATTGTTTTCATAATTTTTTTCTTTTGCATAAAGAATATCATAATTAGAAATATTATAAATCAACATTTATTTATTTATTTATTTATTTATTTATTTATTTATTTATTTATTCAATTAAATGCATTACCATAAGCAATAAAACCATATTTCTTATTATTATTTTATCTCTTGCATTAAAAAAATAATAATAATTGTAAGTATAATAAATCAACATTTATTTATTTATTCAATTTAATGCATTACCATTAGAAATAAATAGTGGTGTGTGTGTGTGTGTGTGTGTGTGTGTGTGTGTGTGTGTGTGTGTGTGTGTGTGTGTGTGTGTGTGCGTGCGTGCGTGCGTGCGTGCGTGCGTGCGTGCGTGCGTGCGTGCGTGCGTGCGTGCGTGCGTGCGTGCGTGCGTGCGTGCGTGCGTGCGTGCGTGCGTGCGTGCGTGCGTGCGTGCGTGTGTATATTGCATTTAGAAACTACTATTAAAATTTTATTTTTAATAAATATTAATCCATTTGTGTTTTTTGTTTATAGATTTATTTAATTTTAAAATATATGTATTGCTTTTTAGGGCATCATAAAAATAGCAGCAATATCATTACTAGTAAATTCAATAGTAATTATCATTTAGAGAGCAGGGGTGGCTAACCCTGTTCCTGGAGAGCCACCTTCCTGCAGATTTCAGTTGCAACCCATATGAAACACACCTGCCTGTAATTATCACGTGGTGTACAGGTCCTAATTAATTGGTTCAGGTGTGTTTGATATGGGTAGCAACTGAAATCTGTTAGCGATCCCTGTTTTAGAGCAACATTTGTTTACAATTTTCAACCGTTATGTTTTTTAGGTCAGAAAAGCCTGACCTGTCCGCGGATCTTCAAGACTGCATGGCTGCACTGGACCTGTTCCTGCAAAATCAATTTGACGAGTCTCTGAGCAGACTACGAAGCAGGTATGGCTACCTGTGTGTTTGACCTGCTGCACCTTACTGTTGTTTTACGACCTGTGATAATTATAAAGATGGGAGAAGCTCTGACTTTGGATCTTTTTTGACTATGCAAGTGTAAAATGTACTATTTTATATTGAATTCTACCAATACATGTTTTTTTTTGGAAAATAATTTATCTACATTTAGTCATTGGGTGTTTCTCAGGCGAATCTCACATAAAACCTATTCAGTTTAGAATCAGTTCAGCTCTCTTGAGATTGACCTCCAGATCTTTTCTTCTCCTCACACCACACCCTGCATTCACACAAATGCCGTGTTGTACAACATCTTGCCTTTTCACCTTTCTCATTAATCTCTTCTGTGAATAGGTGTGTACTTGTGTGTAATTGAAGGTCCATTTAGTAATATTTGCCATCCATCAATCTTATTAGGTTGGATTCAGCGTCCAACTTAATCTAACTGACCACATCATTATACTCATAATATTTTATTTCATATTGTTTTATTTTTCAATTTAGTCATTAGAAATTAGTCGAGACACACCTGTTGAATCGGTTGTTGCTAGAAGGCATATTTTATTTATTATTTTATTCATGTATTTGTATTTTATTAAAGTCTACCCCACCCCAACCTTAAACCCAACCATCACAGTAATGTAAAAACAGTAGTTATACAGAGTATTATTCATATAATTCATTAAATATTATATAATAAAAAAAACATTAAATTGTGTTTTATTAACATCTGCTTCAATCCCAACACTAAATTCAGTCATTACAGTAATGTAAAAGCAGTAAGTATACAAAATGTTATTCATTAAATTACCCATTAAATTGTATTTTATTAACATCTACCCCTACCCCCTTTGTTGTGTTGTGTTTTGTTGTATTGTGTTGTTGTGTTTTGTTTAGTTTATAGTTTAGTTTTGTTTAGTCTTTAGGTTAGTTTAGTTTTGTTTTCTTTTCCTTTCTGTTTTGTTGTGTTGTTGTTGTTTTTAGTTTAGTTTAGTTTTTTGTTTTGCTTTGTTTTTGTTGTTGTTGTGTTGTGCTGTTGTTGTGTTTTGTTTAGTTTTTACTTTAGTTTTTGTTTTGTTGTTGTTGTTTTCTTTTGTTGAGTTTTTTGTTTTGTTTGGTTTGTTGTGTTGTTGTGTTTTGTTTAGTTTTTTTGTGTTTTGTTTTGTTTTTATGCTTTGATTTTAGTTTAGTTTTTTTGTTTTGTTTTTGTTTTCTTCTTTGTTTTCTTTTTTGTTTTGTTTTTTGTTTTTGTTTTTCTTGTGTTTTTTTGTTTTGTTAAAAATGAAAATTATTATTTATATATTTATTTTATTTTTTACTTATGTTTTTGAGGGTCCGAATATCATTATCGGCTTGCAATAAATGTTTTTATTTATTTGTTTTTAGACTTTTTTTTATTTTATTTTATTTCATTTTTAACTTCAATATTTTACTTAAGTCATGATGATTACCAAGCCACATTTAGCAATATAATGTGTGTGTTTGTTTATTTGTTTATTTAATTTAATTTATCTTTGTTTATGTTTTGTTTATCACTTCAAATTTCAATCATTGAGATCATCATAATTGTAACCTTGTATTATGTTGCCGTTCCTATTAAAACGAATCAACTGCCAAGCAAAATTTACTCGCCAGAGGCCATTTTATAATTCAACAAGTGTACATTTTATTGCAACATCTTCCAGTCTGTATATTGTGTCAGAGATCTATTTTCATGAGTGCAATTCAAACTTGCATAATACATCAAAATGCTGATCAGTCAGGCATTCATTTAAACCATCAGAGGATCTCACTAAATATTCAGCAGCTTGCTGTTTGAACACGAATATAGTGAAGTCACAGTTTTGTGATTTACTTAAAAGGCTTGTTTTAGTCGCGCCTCATTCCAGCCAGAAGGGCAGGGCTGCTCCAACAGAGCAAATGAAAGATACACAGAGAAAGCTACAAACGGAGGCGGAAATAGCAAGCAAAAAAATGTTCATCTCTGAAGCATGTCCATGTCTGTACAGGCTCAGAACTGAAAAACAACAGATGATCTTCCTGGTTATTTAATTATCTATTTTCTGCAACATTTCATAACTTGATTTGTTGAAATTCTTTAAAACTATAACATGGGCATCTGATGTGACTTTCTCTCTCACACACTATAATATTTATATAGTAGTATATTTTTGTTATTGAATGATATATTGTTTCCTGCATGTTTTCATGTTATGCAGCTATTAAATATTCAGAAAGCTTCACAATAATATTGGTAACGAGGTCTAAAATGTATTATTTGGTTGTAAACTGCTCCAATCCTGTACTGTCACATCAACATTATTCCAATTCCACTTCTGCAAAGTAAAGTGGTAAACCTGTTTATCCAGGCATTTCTTTGGCCAGGAATGTTGAACCAGTAGTGGCACATTCTATTCTATTCTGTGTGCTGAAAGAAGAACTGAAACGTTTTTCATTTGTTGTGATTGAAAAATCAAGAGTTATCAAACTTAATATTTGTTTTTTAAGGGTTGTGAAGTGAAAACCTTGCCATTGTGTTGTTTGCAAATGAATATATACATGAATTTCTGTTTATTTTATGCCCAAAAAATGGCCTAAATAAAAAATATAATTATAAAGAATTATTTTAAGTTAGAAAGAAATGTCATCAGTAGTTTGCAGAATAAAACAATAAACACAAAAAAACAGGGCTTCTCAATGTGACAATTCAATCCTCCATTTCATATTTTCAGAGCACTAATTGTGTATAACGGGTTAAAAGTGTGGATTTAGTACTTTTAAAAAAGTATTAAACTTGTAATTGTCTAAATTTTTTTTAATGTCATTTAAGGATAGTCCGAAATTAAACAGAAGGCGAGGAGTGTATGATAGAGCTGCGTGATACTGGAAAATTTTAACATTGCGAAATTCTGTTTTTCTGCAAAATACACTCACCGGGCACTTTATTAGGTACACTTTACTTGTACCGGTTTGGACAAGGTTGCCTTCAGAACTGCTTTAATCCTTTGTGGCATAGATTCAACAAGGTACAGGAAATATTCCTCAGAGATTTTGGTCCATATTGATATGATTTGTCGGCTGCAGATACATGATCGGAATCTCCCGTTTCACCACATCCCAAAAGTGTTTTAATGGATTGAGTTCTGGTGACTGTGGAGGCCATTTGAACTCATTGTGATGTTCAAGAAACCAATTTGAGATGATTACCGCTTTATGACATGGCGCGTTATCCTGCTGGAAGTAGCCATCAGAAGATGGGTACACTATCGCCCTAAAAGGATGGACATCGTCAGCAACAATACTCGGACAGGCTGTGGCGTTGACACAGTGCTCAATTGGTACTAATAGGCCCAAAGTGTGCCAAGAAAATATAAATACACCACCAGCCTTAACTGTTAATGCAAGACAGGATGGATCCATGCTTTCATGTTGTTGATGCCAAATTCTGACCCTACCATCCGAATGTCGCAGCAGAAATCGAGACTCATCAGACTAGGACTTCCATTGTTCTATTCTATTTTGCTGAGCCTATGTGAACTGTAGCCTCAGTTTCCTGCTCTTAGCTGACAGGAGTTTCACCTGCTGTGGTCTTTTGCTGCTGTAGCCCATCTGCCTCATGGTTCGATGTGTTCTGCATTCAGAGATGCTGTTTTGCATATCTCAGTTGTAACGAGTGGTTACTTAAGTTACTGTTGCCTTTCTATCAGCTTGAAGCAGTTTGGCCATTCTCCTCTGACCTCTAGCATCAACAAGGCATTTTCGGCCACAGAACTGCCTCTCACTCGATATTTTCTCTTTATCGGACCATTCTCTGATAAGCCAAGAAATTGATGTGCATTTAAATCCTGGTAGATTTAAATCCTGGCAGTTTCTGAAATACTCAGACCAGCCACTCTGGCACCAACAACATGCCACGTTCAAAGTCACTTAAATCACCTTTCTTCCCCATTCTGATGCTGTTTGGACTGCATCTTGACCATGTCTACATGCCTAAATGCATTGAGTTACTGCCATGTGATTGGCTGATTAGAAATTTGCGTTAACTAGCAGTTGGACAGTTGAACCTAATAAAGTGGCTGGTCAGTGTATATTGCTATATGAATATAACTAGATGACTTGAAAATAGCTTTATTTGGAAAGAATTCATTCATTTAGATTGATTGGGATGTTCTAAATAATATTTTAATGCATTACATCTGCATAAAATATAATAAATTGTTAGCATATATAAATTCAATAGAGCAATTATACAATTTAAATAAACAGCTTTATGGTTTTCTGGGGAGTCTTAACAGTGTTCAGGTACAGAAAGTAAAAAATCTAATGTAAAATTACATTATTCAATGAATAAATCGTCATTAAAACATTTAATAAAGTCACAAATGTTACTATTTGTGTCTGTCAATTTTAAAAAAGGTAAATAAAATTTGTGTTTTTAAAATACAGACCGACTTATGCATTCATTTTGCTTTAATACATTATTTTTGATGAGACAGTAGGTTTTTTTTTAATAAAATTGGTGACATTTAATTTACATTTTGCCATTTGTGCACTTTTTATTAACATATTTTGAAATGCAAAGAGCATTTCTTTTAATGGTTGATTTATGCATGTGAATGTTTCATAAAATCAAGTTTTGTTATAACCGATTGTTCCGACCTTTGACGTTGATGAAAATTCAGATTTGGACCTTTGAATTGTTACATGTTACAGAAAATAAATTGAGACTTTGAGATCTCTGCTAAAAATCCACAGAAACATATTATCATATGTATTAGTATTAAGTTGCCACACTGTGCTCAGGACGGTTTTGTTACTCAAACACCTTCCTCTATTTCCAGTTCTCATTTCTGTTACCGATAATGCTCTTGAGTGTTTTAGAGGTGGATTTTCTTTTACCGTCACACCGCCCTGTCCATTGTTCTATATATAGATCTAATGCATCTTCTTTGTGCTCTTTGGCAGGAATAAAGACAGCATGTATCACGCGCTCACGTATGCCACTATACTGGAAATGCAGGCCATGATGACCTTCAACCCGGAGGACATATTTGCTGCAGGAAACACAATGAAGGAGGCACAGGCTGTGTGTCAACGGTGGGTTATATTCCGTTTCTAATAATCTTTCTTTTTGCGTATATATGATAACAAAACAAACATTCCCAATCTATTCCTGTCAGATGTAGTGAAACAGTTTAATATCTTTTTTTGGAATAATGATTTGTTAATAGATTTTGCTGTATTAAAGTGAGACACTGCCAACAAATATATAGTTTTTTTTTCATTCCCCAGTCATTTTTTTTAGTTTTTGAGCTTTCTGTATTTTCATAAAGTATCCTATCAGCAACGAGATGACATGAAATATATAGCAACAAAAACAAGAAAACTGTAGAACTCTTAAATCAAACTTACATTTTTCTTACCCTTCTTAGCACCAACCCTCCCATCTCCCACCTCTCCCTATTTTCTGAGGCCTTCAATAAGTACAGAAAGATGAATCAGGGCACAGATAAATAAATAAACCAGCTAAAAAATAAGAAATAACTTAGTAAAAAAAAATTATAATAATAAATAGATAAATAAATAAATGAATATATATATATATATATATATATATATATATATATATGTATATATATATATATAGTTTTTTTTTCAAACTTTCTACTGCCCTCAGCCATAAATCTCTACATTGTAAAAAATCTGTTATTTTACGTTTTTACCCTAATAGTCCTTAAATTACAGACATTTACTGTAAAATAACAAACTTTAAATTACAGAAATGTCCTTAAATTTAAATTTCTGGAAATTTTCTGTGATTTAACTTTTGTTATTGCACCCTTGCTGCAACAAGTTTTAAGCAGCATGTAATTTAACTGTCCATATCAGATTTAACATGACAGACACATTTAAATACTAGTCATTTTAGAAGTATAAAATGGGCAGTTTTATAAACTAATTTATAATTATTAAACATTAATACCATTTTTAAAAGTACTTCAAAGTCACAGACAGTTGAGAAATTTTTGTTTAAACTGTGTTTGCTAAAATTTATTTTCAAGATCTCAAGTTAACTATTCACTGAAAATAGTTTAGCGTAGCTTAAATGTCACATCATATGATGTTTAAACTTACAATGGTAACAATGAATAAAGCCCATAATCAGTACCTGAGGTAATCATAGTAGTTTAGGCTATTGTTCAAAAATGACGTCACAGAAATAGAAGCTGTTTCTAAAACAGAAACTTTGCACATTGCTTTTAAAGTAGGTTAGAACAAAGACGGCTTTTATCACGTTGCAGCATACAATTCAATTCGACAGCAGTTTTACAATGTAGAACGTGTCAAAGGAGCTTAACATAAAAGTTTTAGTAAATTAAAACTGCGTCAGTCCAGTTTTCAGAGTTGAAGTTCAGTCAAATGTGGTTTAATGTTCACTGCTGAAAGTCTAAACACTAAAGAGCTTATTTTTCGATGTGCAGCTTTACAAGTCCCAAACCAAGTAAGCCAATCCTGACAGCATCATGTCGAGTGTAGTTAGGACGCGGTGTAATTTACACAAAACGTTACAGTTTTATTTATATCTACATATTTAGTCCCACTTTATATTAAGTAGACTTCTTAGCTACGAGATACTACTACTGTAGGTGCAATGAACTCACTGTGTTCATATTGTATTGTACAACATGTATGGTGCTATTAAAGTGGGAAATGGTTAAGGTTATGTGTAGATTTAAAGGTGGTTTAAGGTGTAAGGGATTGGTAAACAGTGTAATTACAAAAGTAATTTCATGCTTTAATTTCAGATGTAATCACATGGAGATAATATGTAAATATTATAATTATAATAATGAGAAAATATATAAATACAATGCAAAAACTTATATAAAGTGAGAACCTTTATTTGTTTTATGTTCTAATAATAGATTCCCCAAATCCTATCTGTATCGTGGGTGATATTCAGGGCTTTACATTAACATCCGTCAACCTGCCATATGCGGGTAGATTTCAGCTCTGGCGGGAAAGACAGCCGCTCCCACTAGCCACTTTGGCTGGTTGAAAATTATTTTTACATTTTAGTTTTTTTAAAACAGGGCTCGACAATAAGGATGGCCCAGTGTGCATGCAAATGTGATCTTACAGTAGAATCAAGAAGCAGCACGACTGACAAAAATAACTGTGTTAAAATCAGGTGAATACCTTATGAGAGGATGATTACTCGCGCACACAGGTGCGATCGGTTCTCAATGAAATAGACCAGACAAAAATCGATGCTTGTGTACCCACAGTCCTGCTGCTTTTAAGAGCTCAAGATTGAGAGGAAAAAAAGATATGTGTGTGTGTGTGTGTATATATATATATATATATATATATATATATATATATATATATATATATATATATATATATATATATATATATATATATATATACACACACATACAGTTGAAGTCAGAATTATTAGCCCCCTGAATTATTAGACTGCTTGTTTATTTTTCTCCAATTTCTTTTTGACGGAGATAATTTTTTTTCCAACACATTTCTAAACATAATAGTTTTAATAACTCATTTCTAATAATGGTTTTATTTTCTTTTTACCATGATGACAGTAAATAATATTTTACTTTTCTTGTCTTTTTTAAGACACTTCTATACAGCTTAAATTGACATTTAAAGGCTTAACTAGGTTTATTAGGGTAACTAGGCAGGTTAGGGTAATTAGGCAAGTTATTGTATAAAAATGGTTTGTTCTGTAGGTTATCGAGAAAAAATATAGCTTAAAGGGGCTAATAATTTTGTCCCTAAAATGGTGTTTAAAAAGTAAAAAACGGCTTTTATTCTAGTCGAAATTAAACAAATAAGACTTTTTCCAGAAGAAAAAATATTATCAGACATACTGTGAAAATTTTTTTGCTCTGTTAAACACCATTTGGAATATATTTAAAAAAGAAGAAAAAAATTTGAAGGGGGCTAATAATTCTGACTTCAACTGTGTGTGTATATATATGTATATATATATATATATGTGTATGTATATATATGTGTGTGTGTGTGTGTGTGTGTGTGTGTGTGTGTGTGTGTGTGTGTGTGTGTGTGTGTGTGTGTGTGTGTGTGTGTGTGTGTGTGTGTGTGTGTGTGTGTGTGTGTGTGTGTGTGTGTGTATATATATATATATATATATATATATGTGTATATATGTATATGTATGTATATATATATCCTTTTTTTTAAGCAGCAGCCACTGCTTTGGTTCTAATTATTGTCAGACACGTGATAATCCTTTCATTTTCACACACATTATGTTTTTTTACCTGCTTTCTTTTGCTTACAGTTATTTTGTTAATATAGTTTAATTATCATCCTTTACAATAACATTGCTTTAAAATGAGATATAAATAACTATTAATAACTTCTCATTTATGTGTAGTAACTGCTGATCTGGGACCTTTAGTCAGGACATATTACTGTGCTTATTGTAGATACATGACACTAGATCTTTTTAAATGTCAATTAAAAAAAAAAAAGGTTTTGTTGAATAAAAAGTGCATGTATGCAGCTGTATTTTGCTTGTTTTGACACATTTAAAATGTGTGGCTAAGAAATAGTTATTTCTTTCTTTTTGGTGTGGTCAAAGATACATTTGGTAAATCCTTAATTTTGAGCCCTAAAAAAGTCATGTGAAATAAAAACTAATTGCCATGCGACGCAACCCATTTGCTCATGCACAGTGAGCAAGCTCATACACAACACACACAAACAGTGAAATAAATGAGGAGGCATGTGGCCATAACATAACATCTAAATCAAGTGATCTTAGCATGTCAGTCACATTTATTCATATAAAATATATTTTCCAAACAACAAAATTGTGGCTAGTGAAAATGGCTAGTGGCTAGTAATGTTGGAAAACTACTAGCCACAGTGGCTGGTGATCAAAAAAGTTAATGTCAAGTCCTGGTGATATTTGTTTTACCCTATTCACCTCCTGTGTCTTGAGTTTATTACATACAGTATCATACTATTATATATCTATACAGAGCTTGTATTCCTTTTTAAGACCAAATCACTACTCCTGGTATTCATGAACCATTTTTGCATTCCTCTTGGTTATGTCATTTGTATTAGTGACGTAATGCCAGAATTTAGCCGTGGCTGTCACCACATCCCAGATGGCAGAGGAATTTCAGAGACCCACGACACACTGTGTTGAAGGGGTGTGACAGTCTGGTCTTTTCCCTCACACACACACACACACACACACACACACACACACACACACACACACACACCCTCTGTGACTCTGCCACGTCATTCAGGCCCTGTGGCTCTGTAACGTCACTGTCAGCTGATCACGCAAAACTCATAGCTGCTCTTCAGCTTTTTATTACAGTGTGCAGGACAGAAAGCCAGTTCAGGGACAATATGTACTGTATATACATCACTGCTTTGATCCTAACTGGTCCAATCAGGTAGATTTGTTGTATTACTGGTATATTAGATTAGATTAAAGTTTATTGTCATTACATATGTACAAGTACAATGCAATGAAATGCAGTTTAGGTCTAACCAGCAGTGCAATAGCAGCAAGTGCAGGATACAGGTATAAGTTATAAAGTGCAGTTACGTATAGATAAACTAGGGTGATATTTATAGATGAATGTACTCTGAACATTATATACAGGTTGTATTAGCTATGAACAGAGATTTACAATAAATGAATATATGTACAGGTTGCTATTAATAATCAGAAGTGTGCAGATAGATAAACATAATTACAAATGTATATGCACAGTGGGTGTGTACATCATTACAAATGCCCATGTGCAGTGGGTATGTACAGTTCAAATAAGTGAATTAGTGCAATTAATATGTGCAAATTTTAAATGTGCAAATGTTAAATAGTGCAGTGATTGGGATGAGTATAAGTTAGAGGAGAGTGGATAAGTTAGAGGAGTATAAGTTAGAGGAGATATACTCCAAACCTTAAAAAAGGATCAATTATTTTACTCAATTGTGTTTCCAATCAATTCGTTCTTTGTTTTTGTTTTCCTGTTTATTTAAATTGCATTAGTCTTCACATATTTGACACCTTTTTGGTCTGTTGAATTATTTTTTTATTTTTTTCTATGAAGCCCCTCCCTCATGGGTAGGCCCACACGAAATCTGCGCGCAGAATTCCGCAGATTTTCAGCCCATCATTGATTCTGTTTATTTACTTGTATAAATTTAAATATATTCAGTTTTTAAATGCATTTCAGTAATATTATTGACTAATATGAAAATATTTATATAATTTATTTGTAACAAATATATGTTTAACTTATATATAATATATATAATATATTACCATCGTAAAGTATTTCCAAGAAAGATGAGAGTTTCAAATGGAGAAACAGAATAATTCTTGTTAGTCCCTCAGGGGCAGACAGAAACCAGACTGCCATTGTCTCTTCCTCTGATTCAACTGCTCTATTTATGTGGCCTCAGGGATACAATGAATCAAGCTGGGCTTTTTGGTATTGGGTCGACTGCAAGTTTGTCTGCTGTAGTGTATCCAGCTTTTACACAGTGAGACTGTAATAGAGAACTCAAGACCAGCCTCAATCAACTGTGCCAACAGTGTGTGTTACCTAGTAACCACTACTGAGGCATCATTGTGTTCTTTTACGACAAGACTGATAAGGATGTGTGTATTATTACAGATACCGCAAAAAGTCTTCATTCAACAGCAAAAACTTCACCGAAGGTTGGTGCCTGTTATATTCATATTTCTCTAAATGACTGGTTGCTATTTAAAAAGATAATTCACCCAAAAATAAAACGATAATCTCCATTTTTTTTTCATTCTCAGCTTTTAGTGTTTATTTTTTCTGTTTTAACACAAAAGATGATGTTTTGAAGAATGTTAGAAACAGGTAACCAGTTATCTGTGACTGTAATAAATAAATAAACAATAATAAATAAATGGCTGCTGGTTCCAACATTCTTCAAAATATCTTCTTCAATGTAAAACATTGTAGGTTTCACATGATTTCTGCATGTTGTCCCAACACGAATGGATTAATTTAACTTGATCGTTTTACAAATTTATATAAATTGAACATAGAATAAATAAGTTGTCTCCCCATAAGTAGTTTAAACAAGCAGCAAAAGTATTTTTTAAGTGTTTTATCTTCAGCAAGAAAAGTGAGCTTGCATAGATTTGGAATAAGTGGAGGGAGCGCAAAAGATGAGGTTTAATTTTTTGGGGGAACTGTCCCTTTAAAAATTATTCCTTTAATATGATGCCGCTGTTTTTGCAAACACTTCCTCTATCCATGATGACCAGATCATGTTTTTTGAAAAGGCTGTGTGTCTGTGACGTAGAGACTGTAAAAGCATTATGTGTGTGTACAGAGGAGCTTCATGCTGAAGTGTGCTATGCCGAATGCCTCCTCCAGAGAGCAGCACTCACTTTCCTTCAGGTCTGTCCTAGTAAAATTCACTTTTACTTCTGGATTTGGCCTGTAGTCAATTATGTGAATGAAACATTTTTGAAGACAATAGGATATACTCTTAACTATGTCTTTCTTAAGGATGAAAATATGATCAGCTTCATAAAGGGAGGAATGAAAGTGAGAAACAGCTATCAAATATACAAGTAAGATTTAATTACAGCTGTGTTGTTATTGTGAAATATATTTTAAAAATGTCGACATTGATTTCGACATTGTGAAAGATGTTGCTTGACTCATTTTATGGGAATACTTGTTTTATAATTGAAATATTGAACATTTATATCCATGATTCATTATATATTATATTAATTACATAAAGATATTCTGTCCCTGTCTGTCTGTCTGTCTGTCTGTCTATCTCTGTATGTTATATATAATTTAATGCAGTAATATACAAATTACAGCTTTTCTCGGTGGCTTTGTTGCATTTCTCACAACACTATTTACATTTGCACAACAGTTAATGGATTTTTCTAAACAATTAGTACAAACTGCAAAACCTAGTTGATAACCTGCAAAAGCGTGTCACTTGCTCAAAATGGATAGGTCATTTCTCAAAAGCAAGTATTGGTGTCACTGAAAGTGTCAGTGTCATCAAGATGAATTGTTTATGAACAAGAATAAAGTCATAAGTCTTTGTCATGTTTTCATTATGACAGTTTACTCTTTTTTTTCTTTTTTTTTTCCCAAAGCAAAAAAGTCAGATTTTGGTGAAACCTTCCTGAAAATGCAAAAAAAAAAAAAAAAGACAGCACTATATACTATTTGACAACAGTACAGTATATTAAACAAACTACAGTAAAGTTAGACATTACTGCATTTAGTGAGGTATCTGAGTACAACACTGAAAATATATGTTTCACATGTTTACTGCTTTTGTTCCCAGCAATTCTAATTTATTCATAGCATTGTGCAAAAGAACAAATACACCCTTATTTATAACAAACATAAGTTTCCTTTGAGTAGAGCTGTGCACAACTGTAAACAATATTGCAGTGCATATTGGAACTTAACTTACAACATATATACATTTACATTTACATTTAGTCATTTAGCAGACGCTTTTATCCAAAGCGACTTACAAATGAGGACAAGGAAGCAATTTACACAACTAAGAGCAACAATGAATAAGTACTATAGGCAAGTTTCAGGTGTGTAAAGTCTAAAAACAGACATAGGACATAGGTCTGTAAATTATTAATGAAATTCTTCAATTTAGAAGATATTTTCAGGAAAAAATGAGCTTGACAGATTTTGACAACTAGTTCAACATTTTTGTTTGTAATGACTCAAGTAATGAAATCAGGACTATTAGTTTTATATGGAATGACTATACAGCATTCACAAGTTTAGTTCATTTTGACTGCAAGATAAGCGAATGATAATGTTATAAAACAGCAGAGAGTTGTATGAAAGCAATCGATGCATGTCTAAAAGCATTTGAAATTTGTTGGAAGAAATGAGTAAAACTGCTACTTTAATGTGCACAAATAACTGATTGTATTGAGAAATGCATTAACTGCTGTTCAAATGTAAATAGTGTTGTGAGAAATGCACTAAAGCGACTGAGAAAAACTGTACATGTTGTATCTATACAGTTATTAAAACGATCATATTTAATGCTACTTATTTAATTAAAAGGAATCAAAAGCTATTAATAATAGTAACAGTTTCAAGTTTTTAAAATAATAATATTTACGGCTACTTATTATTTTTAAATTAGATTAATTAGATTAATGATAGTAAGTTTTATGTTTACGTGAATTTTTATCATTATATTCAATTTTTAATTCAATTCAATTCAGCTTTATTTGTATAGCGCTTTTACAATGTAGATTGTGTCAAAGCAGCTTCACATAAATGGTCATAGTAACTGGAACAGTGTAGTTCAGTTTTTAGTGTTTAAGTTCAGTTCAGTTCAGTTTAGCTCAGTTCAGTGTGATTTAATCATTACTGAGAGTTCAAACACTGAAGAGCAAATTCATCGATGCGTAGCTCTACCAATCCTGAACCATGCGAGCCAGTGGCGACAGCCACTATATATATATATATATATATATATATATATATATATATATATATATATATATATATATATATATATATATATATATATATATATATTCATCTGAAGAACCGTTTTGTGTGTGTGTTTATATAAAAGTATATCTTTGTTTATTTATTTTGTGTTTAATTTGTGTTTTAACGCAAGGGAGCTTCATACGATCCTGAAATCTTCAGGTTATGTTCAAGGTGACAATCATGGTCATTTTGAGGGAGGTGTTAAACTCGGCATCGGGGCCTTTAACCTGGTAAGTGTATTTTTGTCATATGTTTTCTTGCGTCTTACAATTTACCCAGAGCATTTATGAATCCTAGCATTAAGTTCACTGAGGACAAGGCTTGTGTTTTCTCAACCCCTCACCTGTGCTTCCCCCAGATGCTGTCGTTGTTGCCAACGCGGACTCTCAGATTGTTGGAATTTGTGGGCTTTTCTGGTAACAAAGTGAGTATTGTGTTGTACTAAGCTTAGTTTGGCTCTGCTCATATTTGGCGTGTACAAATGAAATTGCATCTGAGTTTGGTTATTTTTTCTTTCTGTCTGTCTGAGTAATAAAAGTGTTTTATGCTTGTGTGAATGTATAGGGAAGCACACAAGTGTGAATGATTTCTGTGTGTTATATATATATATATAACAATAATTCCGTCAGAAATTCAACATCCTCCACATTTTTCATCTGTTTGCGTAGTAGAGTAAATGGTTAGGAGATTTTTATTTTGGAGGAACTATAATGTTTTTGTTTTTTTTGTACAATGGACATCTGATGGACACTGAATTAGAGAACACATTTACTTTCACTTTATATTCATTTTATTTTATTTTAAAACATTTATGAAATGTTAGTTGGCACTTGATCATACTAGTAGACCAGTGTTTTACAAAATAAACAACAGCAATGAATTTAGCATAAGGAAAGATTACTGAACCTTTCTAAGTGAACGTTGCAATGTGGCATGTGGCCATGAGTGGTGAGAATATGTGCTTTGCATTTTACTCATCCAAGTGCACACACACACACCATGAACACACACCTGAAGCAGTACACTGAAAAAAGTGTTGCATGCAGAACTGTTGCAAACAATTTATTTGTGTTGAATTTAAACAAACAAATTAAGTTTAATAATGTTCAACTTAATTTGTTTGTTTAAATTCAACACAAATAAATTGTTTACAACCACTTAACGTAAAAAAATTGAGTAAATCCAAGGAATCATCTTTGAATTATTTTTTTCAGTGTAGGCATTTATGGAATCAGTGCCTTGCTCAAGTGACTGACCTCAGCTGTGGCTTTAAGGGTCATTCACTCTCACCACAGACAATTTATGGTCACTTTTGATTACAAAACCAACTCTAAACCCTTAGGCTATGGCTGCCCCAGTCAGATACAGTTCCAGTAGTGTTTCCACATGAACCTGGAATAGCACGGTATGATTACTCAGTTCTCTAGAACCACAGTCTGGAAATCTAGGCATGGTTTGACAGTTGTGCTAAACCATGCTGGACTAGATCATTGATTGTGTGTATAACATCACCACTCTACTGAAGAGTGCCATTTATTTATTGATTTTATTGTTTTTTAACAAAGTAGAAAATCATCATATCGCTGTTTATATTACACTTACATTACCAAGGCAACGAATGGCACATTTGTATTACATTCCAAATAGTTGCTTTAGCAGCACCACAGAGGAAAATGAAACTGTTTCCATGCTGACTGGACCAGATAGCCATGGAATGGTTAAGCAAACAGAACCACATGGCCTGATAGTGGAAAAGGGGCTAATATGTACCCTTCCAGTTTCTTCCACTGTTACTTTATTTTTTAGGGGAGTTTACGAAGTTAGAGACATTATAAGGTATTCTAGAAATTACAGATTTAAATGACCAGTTTCTTTTGCTCTGACTAAATGGTTCATACCTTTGACTTTTTATCTGGACAGCCTGCTTCAGTCACTTTGGAAAAGCCGACCGTCATGAAAAATCTGATTAAATAGGATTTGTCAGATCAGATCATTAAGGAATTTAAGAGTCTATTCACTCATTTTGATCAGTGTTTATATATGTAACTCATGAGATATGCTTAAATTCTCTTTCAATTCTCTTCACTTATGTTAGGATTACTTCAAATAGGACCTCAAAATGTAGGAAACTGTTGTTTAATTCTGATCTCCTCTGTGTATTTGTTTTAGGAGTTTGGTCTTGAGCAGCTCCAGGAGGGCTGTTCTGAGCACACGTTTAGGTCTTTCCTGTGTAACATGTTGTTGCTCTGCTACCACACCTTCATGAGCTTCATTCTGGGTAAGAGGAGACATTTCATAAATTACATTTTTTTAAATTAATTTTCTTTCATTTTTATTCTCAAAAAATGTTACACTTTTGTCAGATACTGGAATGCGCACATATGTATTAGCATACATTCATCAACATGTACTTTACATTCTTAGATGTGCACATGCAGGCATATTATATACATAGGAATGGAGAACAAATAAAAGTATACAAAAATGGAAAGAAAAAACTACAAAGCAAATTAACTGGGAAGAAAAACTATGTACATGTTGGGGGTTTTCAGTTATATGCAAATTTGAACTAAAAATACAATCTGAGATGTTGCATAATTGATCCATTTTCCTGCATAATTGTTCAATTTTCTGATTTACAAATCCTGTCATTTGCTTTCTATCTTTTTTTTATTTTTTTATTTTATAAATGCTTGTTGTGATTTTCATACATGCATATATATACATGGTCATCCTTTTTATGGTAACTTTTTTTACATCCACCAACAGAATACATTTGAAAAAAACAACTCTTGTTAGTAATTACTGAGGTATCCATCCATAAAAAAATACTATCAAAGTATATTGTAAATTTAAAGACATTTTATAAGGCATTCTGTGTTTCTTTCTTAAAGTCTTTAATAACAGATCAGTCCCAGAAAATATGATTGGGATTTGCATTTTGGTTCCCACATGAATTGCATTTTCAATTCATAAGTGGCAGATCAGATGTAACACTGTTGTTTTGTTTCTCCTTGGGTTTATCTGTTTGTCCTTCAGGCACTGGAGAGGGGGATGTGGAAGATGCAGAAAAACTGCTTCAGCCTTATCTGAAAAAGTATCCGAAGGTACATATCTGACCATTTTTTCCTATATTTTGAGGGATATTTAATTTCAAGTAGTGTGTGATATATTTGTTTGAGAATATAAAGGTTTCAGAAATAAAAGTACACAATAAGTGGAGTAAATGCTGTAAATCTAATCTTAATTTCTGCACAAACACATGCAGGTTTGTAAAAGATTTGCATCATTTCCTGCATGTTTTCAAACTATTTCATAACTTTAACAAGAGGCGATTCAAACATAAATTAATGTAAATTAATTAATTAATTAAACCGCTATCATAATATTATTTAACAATATGTTGCTCTTTTTGGATTCTCGGAAGTGATAGAAATTAAAAATGTAAATCAGGAAACGTGTTGGGACCATTGTTTTTGACCATTGTCATAGACCATTAAAAATGGTCTATGTTCAACAATGGCTGTATGTGAACATTTTTTTTTTTTAATTTAGTATTAATTATTGAGGCCTAGAAGATTTTAATCACTGTTGTCGACAGGTTAAGAAGACATCCTTTTTTTGTGTGCTGCAAAAATTAACTTATGAATGATTAGGAGAAATCACAACAACCCTTCTGACCAATCAGAGCAGAGTAGGATCTTTTAAAAGAGGGGTTTTAGAGAGTCCAAATTCCTTAAAGAACTATTCCAGACACTAAGATAAGAGCTGATGCATGCATTTATATTATGAAAAGATATATACAGTACATATGCAGTATATATTATACTGTATATATTATTTTATATATTATACTTGTATTTAAACCTACTGTAGAAAATTGGACATCTTTAAAATACAATTAGTACATTAAGAACATTTAAACATTAGCACTTTAAAAAGTGAAAAGCCTTAAACATTATTAAAATCTTCTTGAAACTTCAGCTGAAAATTATGTTATTGTATATAATGAGCAGTTTATTGTTCTAAAATAGTGGAGTATTAATTTAATATTTGTATAAAATTTGATGTGTTCTTGTCAGGGATCCATTTTCCTGTTCTTCGCTGGTCGAATAGAGGAAATTAAAGGAAATCTGGATGCTGTAAGTAATTATATAATGCATAAAGAGTTTGAGTATTCTTGCAATTTTTTTATAAATAGTTTTTTACATTTTATTATTATTGTTGTTATTATTAACAACACATTACTTTATTTCTTATATTTAAGTATACTTTAAGCGTAATTCTTGTGCCAGCATGCATGTGTGTTCATATGCATGTTCTTGTTCTTAAGGCTATCAAGCGTTTTGAGGAGTGTTGTGAAGCTCAGCAGGACTGGAAACAGTTCCATCACATGTGTTACTGGGAGCTGATGTGGTGCTTCACCTACAAAAGGCACTGGAAGATGGCCTACTTCTACGCAGACCTGCTCAGTAAAGAAAACAACTGGTCTAAGGTGAAAGGCTGAAATACACGGTTGACTGGAGGTTGTTTGTGTAAAAAATGGCTGTTCCCGCCATTCAGAATTGAATAATTAGTTTATCTTTGAATTAGAAAACATGAAGTAGAAATTGAATTGAAATATGAATTAAAGAATTAAAAGTGGACGATACACTATTGGAGCCCGAAGTCTATAAGTTTTATGCATTGAAAACACTCTGCACTAAATGTCATGAAGTTTATCAAGAAAATATAGGAATAATTTAAAAAATTTGATTAGAATTTAATTTCAAATAACTCTTTTCTATTTTAATATAATTTAATATTGCTTTTTAATATAAGATAATAAACGCTAGTCTATTCCTGTAATGACAGCCAAATTTTCAACTGCCTTTTTAATAAAATGATCGTTTATAAATCATTTTAATATTTGATTGTATATATATATATCAAATGTGTGTGTGTGTATATATATATATATATATATATACACACACACACACACACACACACACACACACACACACACACACACACACACTAACACACACACATTAAATATTACTTAGTACTAGTCAGTACAAGCCAAATCAGGAGCAAATCTAACAAACTTATAAGTAAAATTCAAGAGAAACAAAACAATAATACAATTTTGTTGAAAATATTCACTTTATAATTTGTTTTTGCAATATTTTGCATGAATATAAATGTATTATGTTGTTTATTTCTAAAGATGTTCAGTGACTAAAATATTATTTTAATGAATTTATCTGTTTAATAAATCTGTTTTGTTTAAATGCATCAAAATATATGACCTAAATTCACTAAGAAATTGATACAAATATTAATTTTTAAAATGGGGTCTACTCGTTTAAGCTGAGTACTGTACATATACTTATTTTATAGTCAGTTTTAGTATCTAATAATTATATCAGTTTGTATATTTGAATTGAGTTGAAGCTTTTGCTGTAAGTTAAAAAGCTCTGCTGATGTAATGTGAATGGTGGTTGAGGACAATTAATCTCCCACCAGGGTATTTGTGTTTACCGTGCAGTTTGGAACTCATTGCTCTTTTTTTTTTTTTTTTTTTTTCCTTTTTTCTCTCACACGCACTTTTTCTTCAGGCCACATATGCGTATATGAAAGGTGCTTACCTCAGCATGCTGAGTCGAGAGGAATGCCAGCCGTTCGGGGAGAATGAAGTGGCTTTGTTTAGGTAATGGCAAGGGAATGGTGCGCGTGAGCATGTACATTTTTGTTTGAGTCTTTTTTGGATGTTTTTAAGGATGCAATCGCATGATTAAACACTAGTCTTTAAATCAGATCAAGTCAGATAAAAAAAAATGCTTACCTGCACTGTAATGTATACCAGTAAACCTAAACTGCAATGTCATTCAGTTCAAACAAGCATTGCAAAAACCTAATATATTGGATGCAATTGGAGCCCATCTTCTTGCTAATATAAATAGACGTTTGATATGCATGCATTGAACTTTATTAAAATCTAATCTGACCTTTTTTGCACTTTTCAGGCAAGTTCCCAGTCTAAAGCAAAAAATTGCTGGGAAATCGCTGCCCACAGAGAAGTTTGCTATTAGAAAAGCCAGACGCTATAATACTGATAATGTCATTCCTCTTCCTGCACCTCCACTGGTCAGTGTTCACTATTATAAAGATTCTGCAATCTGTGTGTTTTTTTATATTGTCTTATTTACATAGTTCATACAGGAAGTGTTCTTGCATCCCTGGCCGTTGTGTCTTAATCTGTTTAGAGTAATGTTCAGATGAGTTAAACCTAATGGTGTTCTATGTCTATAAACATACTTCCTGTTCTATTCCATTGTGCTTCTTATTCTATTTTTAAATGCTAGATGTCCTGTGTGAACGCCACTTTAATTAACAAAGAATAAGGAATTACACCATCCTGATTTTTGTAATCCCTTTGCAAAATAAACAATAGGAAACACCTGGAGGAGACACAGTATTCGATTTGCACTCATTGTGTGGGTATGTTTGCACGATAGGAGATGATGTATATCTGGAACGGCTACACTGTGATCGGGAAGCACAAGGACCTGACAGAGGGCATGCTGAAGACATTGGATGAGGCCCAGCAGACGCTTGAGCAAACTCCAAGTAAGTTCCCACCTCACAAAATGCAGCACCACTTACAGTTGAAATCAGAATGATTAAACCCACTTTAAAATGTTTTTCTTTTTAAAATATTTCCCAAATGATGTTTAACAGAGCAAGGAGATTTTCACATTATGTCTAATATTTTTTTTCTAGGGAAAGTCTTATTTGTTTTATTTCGGCTGAAATAAAAGCAGTTTTTAATTTGTTAAACATTTTAAGGTCAAAATGATTAGCCTTTTTAAGCTATATTGTGTTTCGATAGTCTACAGAACAAACCATCGTTATACAATAACTTGCCTAATTACTCTATCCTGCCTAGTTAACCTAATTAACCTAGTTAAGCCTTTAAGTCCTTTAAGTCAAGCCAGTTAAGCCACTTCAAGCTGTGTAGAAGTGTCTTGAGAAATATCTGGTCAAATATTAATTATGGTCATCAGGGCAAAGATAAAATTAATTAGTTATTAGAAATGAGTTATTAAAACTATTATGTTTAGAAATGTGTTGGAAAAAAGTCTTCTCTCTGTTAAACAGAAATTAGGGAAAGTGACAAAAAGTGTAGCTGGGAATTTATTTGGGAATTGTATAATGTTCTGACTTTTTTTATATTATTTGTGCACAAGGGCTGGGAGTCTAATAATTGATTCATCAAATTCCAGGTATTTAGAATCAAGAGTCAGTTCTATAAAGGGGAATCATCCTTCCCTCATGTACTTATGTCAGTTTAAAAAGCTCATTTATAATTAGACTTTTGCTTGCTAATAATCTGAGGTATATACTATAGATTGAATTGAATTTTATTTGACAGATTTTAGACAAGCTGTACAAAAATACAAATATCCCATACATTTTGAAATAAAAATTGTCGAGGATAAAAACACATCAAAGCCCTGGGCTTGTTTCCATTGCGGTCTCGCTGTTAAATAAAACAAAGTATGGCTTCAAAATACAGATGATGCATAAAATAAAAAGTACCTCCACATTTTAAAACAGAAACAAAGTAATTCTCAAATACATTCCTTCTTTCATTCATTTTTCTTTTTGGCTTAGTCCCTCTGTTAATTAGGGGTTGCCACAGCGGAATGAACCGTCAACTTATTCAGCATATATTTTACGCAGTGGATGGCCTTCCAGCTGCAACTCTATTCACAATCAAGTAACATATCAAATAAAACATCATCATCCACCATGCAAACTAATTATCCTCATCAAGCAACCATCTTTTGATAGCTTTTTTAAACCTCCTCAAGTCTTTTATTTTCTTGATCGATTGATCGATTGATTGATTGCACATGTATATAAAAACATATTTTCCCCACTAGACTTCTAAATTTTAAATAAACAAATATTAAAATCCCAACCCCTAGTACTGTATGAATGCTGTTGCCTCACCATTTGAAAATAGTTCACCAAATAACTAGGAACCGCATTATTAAACCTTGTACGTACCATTCCCAGTTTTAAAATACATACTCTATTACTATTAGATGTCACCTATGCTATTGCTGTCAATTGGAAGGAATGCGTCAATAGAGCCACCATTTTGCTACAGGCTAGCGGTCCTTTGAAATGAATGTGGGACCAAGGTGCAGTGGTGGACTGGCCATCCGAAGCAATGATATATACACACATATATATATATATATATATATACATTCTAACGGAGAAAGAGATTCGTTGGTGAATGAATCTCCGTTATGAATGATTCGTGTGAACCATTGAAATCCTTGTGTCTCAATGTGCATGCTATACACCTTTTTATTCTAAATAAAATCTAAATGTTTTAATATACAGTAATTTAGAGTGGAAAGTGTGAACATTGAGGTGCAGGCACTGTTATCGGGCACCCTTATGAGTTACATTTCAAAGAAAGAATCATTAGCCAACAATAATACAAGTTTCTGGCATCAGCATCTTGTTGTCCTATTTAACTCACATTTTCGCTGATTTTCTTCAACAAAAGCATAAGCTAGCAAATTGGTGCTACTTTGCCTTATAGTCAGTGCAGCAAGTGACTGTATAATCCTCAATAACAATCAAGCATGTTGAGATTAGCAACCGGTCTTGACTAAGTGCGGTTGAATGACTTCAGTCCTGGGAGCACTGCACAAATATGGCGGCATTATTGACGCATGCTCTGGGCCCGTATGTGATATCTAATGTATATCCATGATTCTTATGGATGGTTTACTATAGACTATAAACGGCACACTAGCGCACATGCATTTTAGACACACCATGTTAGCGCTCTGTACATGCATTAAATGACGTTGATCTCTGTAGCTTATGAATTGCTGACAGGGTTTAAGAATGAACTTAAGAGGAATCACAACAGCAGTGAGGAATAATTCCAGAAGCAGTAATCCGCTTGTTAAGTGTGACGTCACGCGAAGCGGCTTCCGGGTCCAAGCGCTCTATTCAACTGAATGGGTAGACTCATGAAATGGTAATAATAAACGTTTACAAAGCGATTTAATGCTTTTGAAAATGACGATCGCAGTATATATGTCCATGCATAATATCCGATGGCCAGAAAGAGATTATTTTTTTTATAAATTGTAAAATTTTTGGTATTTGTTATGCAGCAAGCCTAGAGATTGTTGTGTACACTATGACATTATGTAAAATTAACTTTAATGTGTGATGGGAATAAAACGTGATGATAAACGAATGATTTCTCCACTCAAATGAATGGCGGCTTGGACCCGGAAACAGTATTACATACGTCACAAACACGTCACCACTTAACAAGCGGATTAGAATTAAATAGCCCTAGTGCAACAGTGCAAACACGAGCAATAAGTGTTTGCCTGCAGTTCACTTAGTGGCCAGCGCTGTCGCCAATAACACAGGTTTCTTAATTCTACATGTAATAGTTCTTTTAAATAATAGTTTATCCAAATTATACAATTAAAGGGTTAGTAAAATAAAAGGCTAGTATTATTTACTCACCATCATTTCTTTCCAATCCACTGAGACCTTTTTTCATCTTCAAAACACAAGTTAAGATATTTTATTATCTAAAAGCTCCTTGACCCTTTTTATAGACAACAAGAGTTGTGAGACTTTCAAAATCCTAAAAAGGATCCAAATGCTTTGTCAAAACATTCCATGTGACTTCAGTGGCTGATCTGTCATCATATAAAGCTCCAAGAACACACTTGTACACCAAAAAAACAAACAAACTGTAAAAACAACTTTGACTTTTGTAGTTCACACAAGTGTCCTTGAGCTTCGTGGGATTACAGTTGAAGCACTGAAGTCGCAAAGAATGTTCTGATAATGTTATTGGTTCCTTTTCTGGACATTCCTGGATTCTTGCTGTCTATGGAGGATGAGAGAGATCTCAAATTGTATCTAAGATATATTGTTTAGTGTTCCAAAGATGAACGAAGGGGATTGGAACAACATGAGGGTGAGTTATTAATAACGTAATTGTTATATTTTTGGGGAACTAACCCTTTAATGAATGATCTGATTATTTTTCTGTCGACCAGGAACTGTTAAAAGCATGATTATTTTCATTTCTAAATGTGTAACATAAATGTGTGTGTGTGTGCTTGCCTGCAGGGACTGAGTTCACCACAGATGACCAGTGTGTGGTTAGTTTGCTGAAGGGCCTCTGTCTCAAACACTTGGGTTACAAGGAGGAAGCAGAACATTACTTCACCCTCGTCCTCTGCAAGTCAGTCTTACGCTTTTGCTTCGCAACAAATCACACTGATATGAAAAGAAGTGTTTGTGGTTTCCTCTGTGTAGATTTAAGTAGACATGGCCTAATTTTTTGGTGCAAACTTCTATTGCAAATGCTGAATTGTAAAATCTAATGTAAAACGACATGTTCTGTGATTCCACGATAGAATAAGAGACATTTAATGTTTTAATCTTCGGCATGTCATGGCTAATAGAGATTTGGATCCATAAAAATGGCCTTGCAAATGTTCTCTTTCTCTCGGTTTGTGTTTATACAGTGAGAGTCTGATTAAATATGACCACTACCTGGTGCCCAATGCATTGCTGGAACATGGGTTACTGTGCTTGGAGGAGGGGAGAATAGATGAAGCCATCAAACTTCTGGAGGCCGCAAAGTAAGTTTGTTCTGACAGGGAATCTTTTTTACCTTTTAATTAGCAATGTACACAGTTTGTAGATAGAACCGATTATCAGGAGTCTTGATCAGTTTCCTAAAGGAGGCACAGATACCCTTACAAAGGTGCCGTTTACACTAATGCATTTACACTTAATCATTTATAGGTTACACCAAAGTCCCTTTAAGGCAAGTCATTTTACTCGGCGGCCATCTTTAAAATGCCTTTCGGGCAGTATGCTCAGGCATGCAGTCTGAATGGGGAAACATCAAATTCTATAAAACTGTATGCCAAGCTTACAAATACATTGCACAGTTGGAATCACCAATAATATTATAATTAATAATATAATAACAGAAATGGTTTTATAAGCTTCTTTTATAAATGTTAGAATCAAACAAAATTGGCTTATTTTCTGGTTGCTCAGGTCAATGCACATGCACGCTCGAAAGAAACGAAAACACGACACCAACCTCATTTATGGCTGCTCCACACATGATCATCCTCTGAATAATGCTTTGTTTGATCGCGCTGCTCTACTGAAGTAATTCACAACTTAGTCTTGATGGCGAATCTCCTGCAAAAATGACAGTGATTCTTTGTTTACAAGTTTGTGCGCGTTTGAGTAGTTGCTGTCATGTGATGTGCGTCATCACATGACAGGGTAGACTGTACCTCTCGTTTGTTTCATACAGATTACAAAAGTTTTTAAGAATAGTTGGTTTATGTAATAGTACAGATTTCAAGCTTTATTTGGATATATTTCTTATGTCTGTAAAGCAGGGCTGAATTTGTGTCGGAACACGCTCGATCCAGATCCGACACCTCTGAAATCTGATCCGGCGCCTGATTTTACCGATCCTGGGACTTCTATATTTAGTTTGGGTTCGTTAGCTCAGCATATTAAGCCTACAGCCACAAATTTGGGTGGAAATTTTATTCAGATTTTAAATTTGACAATCAGATTAAAGTGGTAGTTAAAGCTAGCTTTTTTTCAATTAAGACAACTAGTAAAAATAAAGCAATATATACCAAAACCACAGTTTGAGACAGTATTTCATGCTTTTATGACCACTCAATTAGATTACTGTAATGCACACTATGTGGGGAGTGGCAGGTCAGCTATTGCCCTTATACAAATGTTGCAAAATGCTGCAGCACGCCTGTTAACTCGCAAATATGACATTTCCCATGTGTTCACTTTGCTTTATTGGTTGCCAGTGAATTTTAAAATAGAGTTTAAGATTCTTTAATCACTTTTTAAATCTCTAAATGGTCTTGCCCCAAATTATGTCTCTTGTTGAAATCCATATTTTCTATATTCCTTTGTTATTAATGTTGTTAATACATTTTATATTATTGAAAGCCTTTTCATAAGCAATAATATGGCCTCCTGTGACTGCCTTCAGGGTATCCCAAAAAATAGTCAGAAACTTGGCCATTATCATTATTTATCCAATTTAGCATTAATGTATTTTTCAAAGGCTGGGTTATTAAGTAGACAAGGGTTGAATCGGCAATAATAGTTTTGTCGAGGCAGAACATTGTTAGGCTGAAGTGAAATAGGGCTCTAGTCTGATATCAACATGTTATAATACTGTGTATCAGTTATTCTGCGTATTAGTTCAGAAGAAACAAAAAGCCCCACCTTATATCTCTGAACTAATACACCCCTATAAGCCCAGGTTTTAGGTAATTTAGCTATATTTTATCTTGTATTTTATATACTAGTATGCTTATTTTGTTGGATATTTCTGTACATCACTTTGGCTCACTTCTGTGTTTTTAAAGTGCTCTATAATTAAAATTTTGACTTAACTTGACTGATGGTTAAAGGTCCAGTGAAATTAAAATACAAGTTTTTAGATGTTAGTTTCAGTCTGTTAGTTTTAAAAAAATCTATAATCTAGTGTGCTTCAAAATTTGCGTTAGGAAAATATAAACCTAATATAAACATCTAAAGCTTTGTTTCCTAAACCTTGCAGTTTGTCTCCTCCACCTAAACGGATCAACAATTTTCTCATGTCACCTCATACTTCAGTTTTTTATCAAATCTTTACCAATCAAATGCTCTCTAGTGTTCGACATGCCCCGCCCCCTTCAAGACACTTCTCATTTACTTTTTATTTGATGCACTCGAGCTCATCCACTCTCATTTGCAGAGCTGTGATAAAATACAAACATTATTGGCTGTTTTTTAAACAGGGGCTATTCTATGTCCCACCCTCTCTTCATTTTTCAGTCGAGATTACGTCAAGCATCGAATAAAATTAAAAAAATCACATTCCAAAGCATTTCACGAGACCTTTAACCAATTAAAATTTGATTTTGCGTAAATGTAAATATTAAATTACTTTTGAATATTCCAAAGTGTAGCTTTAAAGTAGCTAGTATTTCTATACAGATAAGTAAAAAAAAGTAACAGGTAAGTGATAAATATTGCTTTTGGCCAATTTTTTTCTTTATATAATTCCAAAAACTATTGTTGTATCCTTAGATTTTATATGTCATGTCATTTGCCCTTATTAGTTCTGAACCATGTTTTTTTTTTCTAGACAAAACTACAAGAACTACTCCATGGAATCCCGAACACACTTCCGGATTCAGGCAGCTCTACATAAGGCCCGAGGCACAGCTGTGAACGGATACCATTCCTCACCTTCCAGCCCTTAACACTTAGGGTTTCCGCTGGGTCACAGCAACTAAGATCAGGCTTGACATGGGTTGCCAAATGCCCTGAGAGGGACTAACAGAGTACATGACCCAAACCGAGCTTATAGTGACGTCTCCTTGATTAAATAACGCATACAGAGATTTTTACTGTACATGGACAACAGCTGCATGAATATGTCACGTCAAGTGCCATGCAATTTAGCCAAGACCCAGAAATGACATCATGCTGTTGTGATGTCATGAAAATAACATCATGCTTTTAGAATATTGTACTTGTGTTGTTAATAGGGAGGATGACGATAATGATATGAAACACAATGTTAGGAGTGTAACAGTATGCATATTCATTCATTCATTTCTTTTCCTTAAGCTTAGTCTCTATTTTAGAGATTGCCACAGCGGAATGAACCGCCAACTATTCCGGCATATGTTTTACGCAGCGGATGCCCTTCCAACCGCAACACAGTACTGGGAAACACCCATACACACTCATTCACACACATTTATACACTACAGCCAATTGAGTTTATTCAGTTCACCTATGCCACATGTCTGTGGATTGTGGGGGCAACTGCAGCAGCTGGAGGAAACCCACGTTGACACGGAGAGAACATGCAAACTCCTCACAAAAATGCTTACTGTTTCAGATGGGACTTGAACCAGCGACTTTCTTGCTGTGAGGCAACAGTGCTAACCACTGAGCCACCGTGCTGCCATGCATATTCATAGTGAACAAATTTAGTTATGGGTCTTTTGGTTCAGAATGCATAAGAACTGAACAAATACAGTGTTGTTTTAACCATAGTACATGATAAACTTTTAGTTTTATATTAATCAGTTATGGGTTCATTCTGCTGTGGCGACCCCTGATAAATAAGTGACTAAGCCAAAAGAAAATGAAAGAAGGAATGAACCAGTAATGATTCTTATATACTATAAATGATCTTTTAGTGTCAAGTTGTAAAGTAAAGTTGGCTTTATTGTCATTTCAGCAATATACAGTGGAGTACACAGTGAAACAAAGCAATATATTTTTTTTCTAGACAAAACAGGACCAAGGTGCTACATCAAACAACATAAATTGACAACATAACACAGGACTAAACACTAGGGTTGCACGGTTTACCAGTACTATGGTAGTATCGCAATACTATGGCTCCAAAATACTGACGGTGCCACTGTAGTTTGTAAACAGTAGTATCATTATTAATGATTTATCTACAACAGATAATGTTGCATGTTTAAAAGTCACTAAATCCTCACACATTTGCAACAAAAAAAAAAAAAAAACATTTTATTTGAATAATCTGTAGAGCCTTTTAAGGTTACAAAACTGTGTAGAATTTGCTCTTTTAATGGTAGCCTATTGCACGTTTTCTAACGCTTCAGTTCGAACGCACATCTGAATCGGTTAATTTCTGTTCCTATCAATATGATTTAGTAGCTGCATCTAGGGATGCAACGATTAGAGGTTTTGATTGTACAATTATAGTTTGAGGAATAATCACGGTTATCACCATTATTATGCGTTCTTTTATTTCAAAATCACATGAAAACTTCTTATATTTTAAAGTGTTATCAGTTACCATTTTATACAGCACAAAATAACAATTTTATACTGAAAATAAATGACAGAACAAAATAAATGAATAAATAAATAAATAGTTTTGTCTAATGTAAATTTACGCATTATGTTAGTTAAGTATTTCCCTTTTAAATAGAATAAATGTAGTCAAAGACTGCTGAACCTCTTTCTGAAAGGCACTAATTTGCACGCAAACCATGGCCTCCATTGGAATTGACGAACTTGTGCACGTAAAAGATGGCAATGTGTGTGCGTACTGTTTACAAGCCCAAAACTTTAAACTAGTGAACAGTTGGCATAGCTTTAATTTGCTGCAGTTTGGTTCCATGCAGAAATACGGTGCCGAGAAACCTTTTTGATTAATTAACCTTGTCAAATTAAACCGGGGTGAGATTGGATTGTTACCTGATTAGACTGGCTGAAAAATATATATATAAAAAAAAAAAGCAACAGGAAACATTAAAACAATTTTTGACCACGTCATATAGGCTAATTTTGTTGGAAAAATTTCATTTGGTATAATTTGTATATTTATTTTAATAGATTTTGTTTATTTTGTAGATAACTGACTTACAAAAAAAGAATGAATACATTTTAAGTGAAGTGAGGTGCAAATAATACTTTTTGGCCATAAGGGAGTTATAAATTAAATTCAAGCAGGCCAATTATTTCTTAAAATATAATATTTCTGACAATTTTCTTTATAATTTGAGTTACAGTTGAAGTCAGAATTTTTAGCCCCCCTGAATTATTTTCCCCGTTTAATTTTTAAAAACAGAGATTTTTTTCAACACATTTCTAGAAATAATAGTTTTAATAACTCAGCTCTAATAACTGATTTATTTTATCTTTGCCATGATGACTAAAAAATATTTGACTAGATATTTTTCAAGACACTTCTATATAGCTTAAAGTGACATTTAAAGCCTTAACTAGGTTAGTTAGGTTAACTAGGCAGGTTAGGGTAATTAGGCAAGTTATTGTATAACGATTGTTTGTTCTGTAGACTATAGAAAAAAATAGCTTAAAGGAGCTAATAATCTTGTCCCTAAAATGGTGTTTAAAAAATAAAAAACCTGCTTTTAATCTAGCCAAAATAAATCAAATAAGACTTTCTTCAGAAGAAAAAATATTATCAGACATACTGTAAAAATTTCCTTGCTCTGTTAAACATTATTTGGGAAATATTTGAAAAAGAAAAAAGAAAATTCAAAAGGGGGCTAATAATTCTGACTTCAACTGTATAAATTACAGTATTTCAATACTACTTGGTATCATGATACTGGTATCGCGACAGCCCTACTACACTACTATAAAACTTTATAAGAATGTAATAAAATAAGATAAACTAAAATAAATAAGAATAAGAGCACAAAGTGCTTTCAGTTCATAATAAATAGTAATTCATTATACATTATTCCACGCACCTTAAATCCAGTAATAACAATCTTTGTGTTATTTTTGATCAATCTTTAAATTAATTTATTTGTTTTAGCATAAAATAAACAGAAAAAAAGCTATTTATGTTTTTAATGTTTTCCCATTGTACCAAACTCAGGTACAAACTTTCAGTTTTGTGTACTGTTACACCCCTACATGATCTAGAATATTGTCGATCAGAATTAGGAATCAGAATTAGGAAATAAGGCCATCTGTAAATCATTATTGGCTGCTTTCAGAGCTCTTATTGGTAATGCTCTCCATTATTGGTCACCTTGTGACATCAGCAGCCTAGACATGTCTGTGACCGACAGCGAACCACTTTATTTGGATTTACATATGCACAAATATTAGTTTACTTTTAACCTTTGGAGTTTAAATAGGTTATAAAATAAACCTATTCTTCAGAGGTCATGAATGTGTGTTTTGATATCATGGGTTACTCTTTGATTAGAGTAATGTGGCCTTGTCAAATCTCATGCACAGGATTACTTTGTGTACATTTATCTTTGTGCACATATTCAGTTTTAGAAGTGTCTTTAAAAAAAGAGAAAACAAGCATCTTCATGAAAACAAAAATCAGAATGTAAACTGGAAGATTTGTTTAGTGTTGTCGGGTTTATTAGTTTCTATTTATTCAATATTATGGCGTGTTTCAAAAATGTCCCGTTTTAAGTGGGCAGCTGAATGTGTCTTTTAGAAAGGCAGTCTCCTTCATGTGGACTCAGTCCAGATCCTACTTACGCTCAAACAAACAAGTCTTTTAGATACATGCAGGACAGGCTGGCATGTCAGCACCAGCCAACGCGAGCAATGCATTGACAACCACTGCAGCCTTACACTAGGAAAAGAAAGAAAAACCGAGCTGCTTGAGCACAGAGGATTGTACTTTGTTCTCTGTGTGAATGTTACTTGATGGAGCTTTTCCCCATAGCATGGAGCTCCAGTAACTAAACACAGCATAGTCCTTAGATACTGCAAAGGCTTGTGCTTTATAAACTTATCCCCGAATAGTTCAATAGCGTCAATGGGTATTAATCCTTCTGCAGTGTTATCTTTACAGTGCCTGTTTTATGGGATCCAGTCTACCAAAGATGAATTCACCTCATCAGATCAAATGTGCCCAAAAATGTTTTAATGAATGTAGTTTTCATTGTAATGGTTGTTTCCCCCTCATTCTTACTGATTTCAGTTGATTGCAGTGGTTTCAAATTCAATTCCTGGAGGGCCGCTGCTCTGCACAGTTTAGCTCCAACCATTATTAACTCACACCTGCTTAAAAGTCTCTACATTAGCTGGATCAGCTGTGTTTGATTAGGGTTGTGCAGAGCTGTGGCCTTCCATGAATTGAGTTTGAGACCAATGTTTTCCAGGCTTTGGGCTATAGAGGTCAGCAAATCCTGTGTGTGGTGCATGGCTATTGTGTAAACACATTCCTGTAAATACTAAATTTGCATTTTCTAATTTAAAATTAAAGTATATAATAGCATTCCAAAAGACATCTCCTTTGATTTTCTTTCTTGAGCTTTAGGGGACTTTCTTAAAGAGATTTCCCAGAAATGAGTTCAAGAGTTATAGTCTTCTGTGGAATATGAAAGGAAGTGCTTGGCAGTAATGAATCACTTTGATTACATGGAAATGTGTTTTGTTCTATAAAGATCTGATAAAGGCACAGTGGTTAACATTGTCACCTCACAGCAAGAAGGTCGCTGATTCGAGTCCCGGCTGGGCCAGTTGGCATTTCTGCATGGAGTTTGCATGTTCTCCCCAAGTTCATGTGGGTTTCCTCGGGGTGCTCCGGTTACCCCCACTGACATGCGCCATAGGGGAATTGAATAAGCTAAATTGGCCTTAGTTTATGAGTGTGTGAATTTGATGGTGTTATGGGTGTTACCCAGTACTGGGTTGTGGCTGGAAGGCCATCCGCTGTGTAAAACATATGCCGGAATAGTTGGCGGTTCATTTGGCTGTGGCGACTGCTGATAAATAAGTGACAAAGCCAAAGTAAAATTAACAAATGAATGATCTTTAAATACTATTGATTTTTAGTACTTTGTTGATGATGAATAAAAATTAATTATACATGTTTCCACAAACCTTAAATCCAGTAATAAAATAACATTTTTGTTGTAGTTTTAATTAGAGTAAAAACAAAGTCTCATCTTTCAAATGATTTTACTATTTTTGTCTTTTTTTTTTTTTGCCAAATATGTGAGAACATGCAAACTCAACACAGAAATGCCAACTGACTTTCTTTTTTGAGCTTTAAGGGGGCTTTTTTAAAGAGTTTACCCAGAAATTAGTTAAAGAGTTATAGTCTTGACAGTAATTAGTCGCTTTCAATTTGATAAAGTGTCAACTAAAAATAGTACCATTCAGAGTGAAATAAAATGTTATAAAACATCTATATCCACCAATTATTCTTATTCCTCTGAAGTTAAAACATTGGAATGGTATTGTCTAAATAAAATATATAAACACATACAGTTAAAGTCAGAATTTAGATTTTTTTTTCTTTTTTTAAATTTTTCTGAAATTATGTTTAACAGAGCAAGTAGATTTTAACAGTATGTCTGATAATATTTTTTCTTCTGGTAAAAATCTTATTTGTTTTATTTAGACTAGAATAAAAGCAGTTTTTAGTTTTTTAAAAACCATTTTAAGGTCATAATTACTGGCCCTTTTAAGCTATTTTTTTTTTTTGATAGTCTACAGAACAAACCATCGTTATACAATAACTTGCCTAATTAACCTATCCTGCCTAGTTAACCTAATTAACCTAGTTAAGCCTTTAAATGTCACTTTAATCTGAATACTAGTTTCTTGAAAAATATCTAGTAAAACATTATTTACGGTCATCATTATACTGTCATGTTATTAAAGATAAGTTATTAAAACTATCGTGTTTAGAAATGTTGAAAAAAACTCTGATAAACAGAAATTGGGGGAAAATATACATAAGGGGGCTAGTAATTCTGACATGGCATATCTGTAATTTTGAACGATTGTCATTGTATGCTCTGAATGACAACATGTTTATTTTACATTTAAGAAATTTCAGTAAAAATCACTGAAACAATCAGTAGCTAGCAGGAAAAAAAAACGGAAACTGAGAAATACGAATTCCCATATGGTATTTAAACAAGAAAAGCAATGAAGATATGAAAGACGACCCCTTTTTCTCCGGATTAACTTGGATGGATTTTTACCTCCGAATTGCACTTTAATCATCATGACATCGATTTGGTTATAATGTAGTAGTCACTCAGTTTAGTTATTCCTCCAATCTGTTCTTCAGGGGAAAGGGGAAAGTCGTGCGTTTTATTTTTCAAACTGACAATTTTACAATTGAAGTGAACTATGCCTTTAAATCGGCCTAATGCGGTCAAGTTTAAAGGCTTTAAACCCCTGTTGTTGGTGTTGTAAGTCTGCAATCTAATTGGGTGACGAGTATCCACTAATAGCGCCCTTACTACTGAAGACGCCTACTGATTGGTGGATTCTGTGCGGAGGCGGGACTTAGAATGACTGCCTGAAAGGCAACATTGCCTGAGTCGCCATTGAGAGCGAGCGCATATTTGATATTGTGGAAATTATCTCCTGGAAGGCTAACCAGTGTGTTTACTATTAAGACGAAGAGAAAGGGACAGCATTACATAAAGAGGCTTTAAATCAAAAAGACGTGTTTCACAGGTTTAGACTGTGTGAATTTATACAAACATCGTTTCATATCCGCGTATGACACTTTTTCCAGGCTTCTTTGTGTCGACAATGGTTTGTTTTTCTCCGTCAGGATCTCTCATGGTGATCGGATCGTTGTAAATGAATGATAGAGGGTTTTGTCGTCCTGTTTAAAGGGACAGAAGTCTGGTTGGAGTGATTAAGGGCGGAAGGGATAGGAAGGATTTCAACATTTAGACAACAAGGAGTTTGGAAAGGAGATGGGGAATTGTCTGAAATCTCCCACTTCGGATGATATCTCCTTGCTCCACGAATCCCAGTCAGACAGGGCCAGTTTCGGTGACGCCAACGATCCAGATCAGGAACCGCCACCTCCGTATCAGGTAAGCTTATAAAAACCATTAGAATACACAAAGAAACTTTGCTTTTGACTAATATAACGTGCCTTGTGTCCACCCTCCTGCTTCAATCATAACATGAACACTCGCAATTCATAATATCAAGCAAATAGACGTAAATATATCACCAACAGCAAGCTCCCGCAGGAGCTCCATCTGTTTAATTTCGCCCTAGAGTGTGTGCCATACTAAATCCTCTTTGTTCGACGTAAACTTGGCCTGCAGTTCACGTCAGACCATCCAGACAGATGGACAGTCTGTTATTTCATCTTTACTGCCGCCTCCGTGGCGTGTTGATTCACCAGCAGCAGCTTTATTGCGATAAAGGTAACCATTCTGGTTGTGACGATTCTTGTTTGCAGTTGTGACGTCATGTCGATGTTATTCTCCTTGCTCGAGTGTTACACAAACCTTTTAAAATATTCTGTTTTCTTCTCTTCACAGACTGTAAGGGCAAACTATATGTATTTAATTTAAATATTACTAATACTGATGTTGTACACATACACAATGTTACTACCTCACTATATATATATTTTTGCAAACTTCCGGGAAGAGAGCTTAAAAATGCTTATAATATGACAATGGGCTGCTCTACATTGTCCTTTAGTCAGAAGTGTTGGGAAGCCTTGCACTCGGGGATTTCCCCATTTTACGGACATGTGGAATCAGTTGAGGTCTAAGTCATGAGATCATGATATTTTAAAGTGATGTCATGCTTTACAAAACATAGTTCAAATGGAAGAACTGGGTTGGCCAGGGTCTTTTTGTTGGATGAAACAAACCATGTCGAAGCAGATAAACTTGTGTAGCACCGTAAGTGAACGTTTTATGTCCAGTCACTGTGTTTTGTAAGAAGCAACATGACTCAGAAGATGTCTGATCTGAAATGTTTGCAACTGTGGTGGCTGTTACATCCTCTTGTTGTGTTGACCTTATCTGTTTTACAAGAACTCTCCAACAAACTGATTGAGGTAAAATTGGTTTAATATTTAGACATTCAGACTTTCGCATTAATAATATAATTTCTGAAAATTAGTCTTTGCAAATCCTAAATAGTGAAATTATATTAGCAGCCAATGACTATTGAAGTACAACATTGTTCAGAGTCAAATAAGTAGTGATAATGTTGTTTAAAGTCATACTTGCGTGTGATTTCAGACCCAATGTTCAAAGTACCATAGTAAACATTATAAGAAGTGTGTCACAAGTAAGTTGTCACTGAAATAATGTGCAAATACAAAACCAACTTTACATTTATAACAAATAATAGTGAGCCGTTGACCGAAGCACAGATAATCTTGTATGCATCTTGAAAGCACACACAGTAATTTCCTCACAACTGATGTGACATAATATAATCTTATTAAGCAAAAGGAACATTCTCTTCAGTCTTAGTTTCAGTTTTTTTCAGCTGAAGGTGGGACGTTAAGTGCTGGACTACTTTCATTTATCAGTTGTGCTAACATTGTTGTCCAATTCATACATTCAAAACATGATTCAAAAATACACATATCCAATTTGTAAGTTTGAAACACGGTTCAGGCGAAGCAGTGGCGCAGAAGGGAGTGCTGTCGCCTCACAGCAAGAAGGTTGCTGGGTCGCTGGTTTGAGCCTCGGCTCCGTTTCTGTGTGGAGTTTGCATGTTCTCCCTGCGTTCGCGTGGGTTTCCTCCGGGTGCTCCGGTTTCCCCCACAGTCCAAAGACATGCGGTACAGGTGAATTGGGTAGTCTAAATTGTCCGTAGTGTATGAGTGTGTGTGTGTGAATGTGTGTGTGGATGTTTCCCAGAGATGGGTTGTGGCTGGAAGGGTATCCGAGGCGTAAAAACTTGCTGGATAAGTTGGCGATTCATTCTGCTGTGCGACCCCAGATTAATAAAGGGACTAAGCCGACAAGAAAGAAATGAAACACGGTTTAAAAATACACAATATATGAATTCCAAATATGATTTAAAAATACACTAATCCAACTCATACATTTGCAACATGATGTAAAAATACACAAATCCAATTCGTAAGTTAGAAACTTAGTTTAAGAATACACAATTCATACATTCGAAACATGATTCAAAAACACATGTCCAATTTGTAAGTTTGAAACACGGTTCAAAAATACACAATATATGAATTCCAAATACGATTTAAAAACACACAAATCCAATTTGTAAATTCAAAACATGATTTAAAAATACACTAATCCAATTCATACATTTGAAACACGATTAAAAAATACACAAATCCAATTCGTAAATTCAAAAGACAATTAAAAAATACACAAATCCAATTTGTAAAAAATACACAAATCTATATAGAAAATTTGAAACAAGATTAAAAAATACACAAATTCAATTCATACATTCAAAACACCATTCAGAAATGCAAAAATCCAATTCATAAGTTTAAAACATCATTCAAAAATACACATCCAATTTGTAAATGCGAAGCACGATTCAAAAATGCACAAATCCAATTTGTAAATTCAAAACACTACGTCATTAGCAGTGATGTCATGCACATTGCATATTTAGCTTATATTCATGGACAAGTACTTCACAACCAAAGCAACAATTACGAGTATAAAAAAGTGGCATTGCCAACTACATTTTTAGTAATTTTAATTTGTTTATGGCAATGTGCATTGATTTGATCTCACTAGTGTGTCCATTCCTGATTTTTATTTTATTCTTTGTTTTGTTTCCACTGATCAATTGAAACATGGAATTGGTTATGTTTGAGATGCTGTAGATCAGTTTTAATTGTTATTCTGATATTTGCTTCTGGTGTTATTTTATTTTGTGCTCTGTTATAGTTATTTGCACTCCATATATTGAACAGAAATATTATCTTGGAAGATTTAGCATCCATTTTTGAGCAGATCTAACAGCTTGAAAGCAAATGGGGAAGTGCGTTCATATCTTCTGTTACTGAGCTGTCTTTCAAGAGCAGAGACCTTTCTGCTGAACGCTAGCAAAAACTGAGCTCAGCTTTCTGGTTTGTGAAGTTATTGAGTCTCTTGGGTGTAGGACCAGACAAGGGTGTAAAAAGCGGGCAGCGGAGACAGTACTGTGCTGAATTCGCCCAGCATTTGTTAAAGGCACTGCTGCTCTGTGCAATATTTGGATGGCACGCTTCAGCTTATTGTCGGAATGTTGGACAGACAGGAGGTCTTTTTGAACCACGCTGTAGATGAAAAAATGCACGGCCCCCTTGAGAACCCAAATCATTTCCAATCTCAGCACATTCTTGCGTCGCCTGCCAAGAATGCTTGACGTTTTTTCCTCTGGAGTCTCAGGCAGGGAGCTAGAATGGGTTGCCTGTGCTCCCAACTATGTGCTGAAACTGTTCTGTTTTTGAAGTTATAAAGGGACTTTTAAAACGCAATCGTAAATAGTTGTATGGTGTTTTGAATGCCTCACACTCACTCAAACGTTGAAAAAAGTATGTACTTGCTTCCAAACCTCATTTTAAGAAATGCTGGGTTCCACACAATACCTTCATGTTGTCTCAGCAAAAATCTATTAACTTAACTTAATCATCACTGGTGGTGGTGTGGAGAGACCCCCCCCCACCCCTCATGATTGTGGAGCGCTTTGGGTGTATGGCCATAAACAAGAAATTCGCTATATAAATAAATACACATTACTTTTTTTTTTTTACAAATTTAAGTGAATTGAACATAAAACAATAAAGCTGTCCCCAACAAAACTCAAGAATTCTGTTGTTTCAACTCATTTTAAAGGGTCACAAAACAGCAAAACACATTTTTTTTTTTATTTTGACGCTCGTATACGTGTCCCATGTAGCTAAAAACACTATTAGGGCACATATATTTCATTAAAAATGGAAAATTGGTTGTTTTTGCATTGTTTAGAGCAAATTAGTTCTTCTGGCTTAAATAAGTTGAGCGATGAGATTGTGGAGATTGGCTGTCTGTATCGGCTGGTACAAAGTGACGTCATTGAGTTTTCAGCACATCTGTTTATTAATTCATTGGAGAGACTTGGTTAGAATCAATCAGCGCATTCTATTTTGAACGAGATGCAGCTTTGTTTATATGCATGATATATCTCCAAAGGCTCCTTTTACCTGTTACAGTGTTCAAAGAGGCGCCATGTTGTGTTGCCAACCTTAATTCAAACAAGTATTAGAAGAATTGTTTAGAGACATCAGTGATATGGGTCATCAGTGTTGCATAAATGTGCTGCAATGAAGGTTTTGTTTCCATTTCCCCACGATGAGAGCACAGCTTGTGTGTGGACCCACATGTGTGGATTACAGTGGTCTGCTAACATGCAACAAAAATATGTTTGTAAGGAACATTTATTTCCAATCTGGAAATGGTAAAATCTCAATTTGCCACTCGTCTTCTTTTAAAAAAAGATGTAGTGTCAGGTCTTGATAGTCCTGTCTCTACAGATTTGGTAAGTGTGTTATCAATGTTCTTTGTTTGTTTTTAATTTGTTTAAATTCAGCCCATATAAACTGTTTGAAACCAATCACGTTGCAATGGTTGTAAAAAAAAAAAGTAGTAATTCCAATAAATATTTTTTTCAGTGTGAGGCAAGGTTATTGTAGTTAACAAAAACGACCAAAAAAACGAAAACTAAACTGCAAAATATTTGTTGTTACCTGAAATAAAAATAAAAGTTTTTTTTTTTAAAACTAAAATTAACTGAAACTGTATTGTGTACATATAAAACTAACTAAAATTATAGCAAAAAACTCCTGCGTTTTCGTATTTGCGAATGTATTTAATACATAATCTTACTGTAAGACTTTTAGAAGTAAATATAATCCGCGCTGCAGGTGTTTGACCCTTCCGCACCACAGAGTCTCCTGCTGCCACTGACCAGATCGAGCTCATCCTCGCTGTTGCTCCCGTAACAAAAACAGTGAGTGGACATGACAGCAGCACGGTGACACCATTAAATACAGAGACATAAAACTATTACTTTAACACATTTGTGCCCAATAATGGGTTTT